TGTGGTGTATTTTCTAAATAATAATCAACTACACTAAACCATGTGCTTTGATGCTCGTCTCTTTATTACACACGTGCGCACTCGCACGCTTGCAAACCTAACAGGGGTGGGGTGGGTAAATCCACCAACACTACACTTTCCATGAAAGAAGGAAGAGAATACCTCATCAAAGACCAAGAAATTGTACCTGTGGATTTCGAATCTACCGGAGTTGTTGAACTCAGCACAAAGTGGGGAGATGGTTTGCATCAATTTCTGGAGCTGAAACATCAAAAAAAACTCAGCGAAATGACTCTCGTTACTAATTTCATGTCTAATCAAGCATTCTTCAAAAGATATCCCGGAAAGCTGTTTGGCCTTTCGGGCACTTTAGGCAGTGAATGTGAATTGGCATTTCTTGTTGGATGTTATGGATTGTCCTACTTAAGGATCCCAACCTACCTTGAGAAACGATTTAAAGAAAACTCAGGTATTCTGTGTTCGAACAAAGACGACTGGTTGGAATGTATTGGAAAGAAAGTGGAAGAACACACATCCAGTGCTCTACACGGAAAAAAAAGAGCCGTTTTGATCACTTGTGAAGACATCAATACTGCAAAGGAAATAGAGGATTCATTAAAGTCGCAAAAGTGTGGTTCAGTTACTATGTTTACAGAAAATAGCGAAAAAGAAAAAATCGAGACGAAAACATTCGCTGGAGGAGACGTTATCATAGCAACAAACATTGCTGGACGGGGTACAGATATTGAAATAGAGAAGTCAGTTTTAAAAGCTGGAGGACTCTTTGTCCTTGTTACTTTTCTGCCATCGAACTTAAGAGTGGAAAATCAAGTGTTTGGGAGATGTGCAAGAAAGGGACAACCTGGATCTGCTCAGCTTGTTATCAACAAAGAGTCTTTGCCTCTATATTTGAAAATTGAGCCATTTAGTAATATCCACGAGTTAAAAAAGATCAGAGAAGAAAATGCAGAACGACGGCAAATGGATAATGAAGGAGCTCTTTCTTCTAGTACCATACCAAAAGAGGATCTGTTTTCATCCTATCGTCAGTTTATTAGCAACGCCGCTACTGAATTGAAGGATGAGTCTGAAATCGAAAAGAAAATCTTGCTGACATCGATGCATGAGTTTTGGGGACTTTGGTTGAAAATTAAGTCTGAAAACCTGAAAGATTTGAATAAAGAGAAATTGGAAAAGCTCAAACAGCAATTGAATGAAGCTTTGCACGAAGCAAAAAGACAGATAATGAATAAAACATCACCTTGTGCCAACTTGTACCACATTATCAAACTCGCAAATGAGCGAAGGATAAGCAAAAACTTCGCAGAAGCAATTCAATTATATACTAAAGCTATAGAAATTGACGGGAAATGGGCAGCCATTGCTTACTACAACAGAGCATATTGTAGGTTACAGCAGCAAAAAGATGGATACATGAAAGAAGCAATTTCTGGTCTGAATAAAGCAAAGCAAGGTCTTCGTAAATATAAAGACGAAGTGAAACTTTCGTACAGTCTTCTCAGTATTTTACCGAGAGATACAAAAAGTGCAGATGAATCCACCACGACTACGAAATCTCAGCTCGACACTCGTGGTCAGATTTTGAACTTTTACGAAGAAAGCATCGAAAAGGCACTAAAGAAATTAGCTGAATTGAAGAAAGAGAAGAAAGATGCGAAAGCTGTTGGGCATAATGCCTTGACGATTGCTTTAGGTGATGACAAATTGACTGAAATTGCTAGTATCGAGGAAAAGTGGGAGTTTAACTGGAAAACAGCTTCAGTAGTTCCTTTCGGAGTGCTTCAAATAGCAGTTGGAGCATTTTTTGTTGCGTGTAGTAGTGGGCTCTTGTTAAACATTGGTTGGGGTCTAGTAACTGAAGGAATTAATGACATTYGCAAGGGTGCACTTGCGGTTTACAAAGGAGATCAAAACTTTGCTAAGAGCTGTGCAATTGGAAAGGCTGCCTCAGTAGCGTTATCAATAGCTGCGTTTGGCTTCGGTCAAGTCAAAGCAGCTGTGAAAGGAGGCAAAGGATTGAAATCCGCATTTACTGCTGTTAAAGAACAGATCCAGACTGCAGGAAAGAAAATGCATGATGCGGTTAATGAAATACCCCAACTTGTATCGTCATCATCATTCCCTGCCGTCGTGGGAAACACTTGCAAAGAGGTAGCAGTAGATGCCAGTAAAGAAATAGCTGCACAAGCGAGCAAGTATGCCCTTGAAACTATTAATAAAGAACTCAAGACGTACTTTGAAAATCAAACGCGAAAACAACTCAAAAAGGAACTTGATAAAGCAATGAATTGTGAAGGCGAATTTAAAAACTGCTTAGATAAATTCATTTTCATTC